ATGCTTGTTCTCAGAAATATATAATTGCTGGATTACAGAATGCAAATTTTAGACCAAATTCTGTGCTGTCTACTTTGAAGAAGGGCAGTTTTAGCCAAATCTTGAAGAGCATCACAATTGGTCTGTGCCTGAAGGAAGAAAGATGTGGGCATCTTAAGAAAGAATAATCAAGATAAATAATAACATCAAATTAGGCCTTAGTTTAGTTGGAATGGTTGGGAGGAAGGGAAGGGGACAGGTAACCAAAGGTATAGTGAGAAATTAAAGCTCATAAGTTAACTATAGAAACAGAGAGGTACAGACAAATTTTGGAAGTGGAAATACCTGGTTTTGAGTGAGTTCAGCTAGAAGGATAGTCTGAATAATGGCAGTGAAGTTGAATGACATATATTTTTAATTTCAAAAAGTCCTTAAGGAAAATAATGCATTGAAAAATGAAGAAAACAGATAAACTGAGCACAAAAGGTCTCATTAATGGTCTGCATTGGTAAAGGAAACAAAGAGCACAATATAAAAATTAAGCATGAAAGTGCATAAGGAAGCACTGGAACAGGGAAAATGACAGAGAGGGGAAAAGTAAAGTACAATACTCATCACCAATTTTAAAAAAATAGTGAATTATTAAAGAAAAGGAAGAAGAAAATTTATTACCAAAACGTAGCCCTGGCTGGCGTAGCTCAGTGGATTGAGCGCAGGCTGCGAACCAAAGTGTCGCAGGTTCGATTCCCAGTCAGGGCACATGCTTGGGTTGCAGGCCACGGCCCCCAGCAATGACACATTGATATTTCTCTCTCTCTCCTTTTCTCCCTCCCTCCCTTCCCTCTCTAAAAATAAATAAATAAAATCTTTTAAAAAATTATTATCAAAATGTGCCATCTAAAGTATAAAAGGAATTATTTAGCACTAAAAAAGAATTAGGCAAGGTTGTGTTTTTTTTAATGAGCAAGGTTTTAAAGTTAACAAATTCATTAAATATATTTAAAAAACTACAGATTCTATCAGAAATCACTTGTGCTTGTGGAAAATACAAGGCCTTTTTTAGCATACAATAACAATATCCCAACACATGATAATATGCTAGGATTTCACACAGCTATTGGCTAATAAGATTTGCTATCTTCTCTTTATAAATTACACTATACTCACATAAGCAATGAATTTTAAAGCTAGGTACAAGAGACCATCAACAGACATATAAGATATTGTAAATTGAACAGATTTCTGAAAGCACATTTTGAAATGAGATTTATATATTTTATTACATATTTATAATTATATGATACATATATACATACATACATACATATATATATATATATATATATATATATATATATATATATATATATATATAAAGAACTAATAAATTCAGTGAAAAGATCGGTTTGGAGTCTAATCAGGAAAATGTATTGCTAGAAGTGGAAGCATCATGTTGGTATGGTGATACCAAATCTCAGTCAAAGCTCCTGAATCCAGGAAATTTCTTGAATCTTCACTCAATGCATATGACAGTGTTAGCTCAATCCATATGTTAAAATTCCATGTTATAGTAAAACTCTAATGTTCTTTGAATTTATAATTGTTAATCTATCTAGCTATCATAAAATATGTTGCACTTATGCAGGTTTATAATATCATAATACCAAAAAATTTAAAGAGGAAAGAAATCAAACCATTTTATTACTCTAATATATACACTATTAGGGAAACCAGAAGTAAAGTAGAAAGAAAACAGCCTTTGTATTGAAACAGATGGACTTCAAGTCCCACATTTGTCTGTAGCTATGAGACCTTGGTCATTGTCTCTGGGCTCTCATCTGTAAAATGGAATAATGCATACTTCATAAGACTGTTAAGAGGATCAGTAATGACTCAGATGAAGTTTCTAACAATAATGAGTGTGCCAGAGAAGTGCAGCTATTTAAATGGGGTGAAATAGAGCTTTTAGTTAAATTTATATTTTAAAACAAAACTTAATACATGCAATGTCTCTGTGTGGATATATACACATTCATACATATGGATGCATATAAAACAATTGTAAGAAATACAATTATAATTATATTACTCAAAAATATAAATATATTAAATATAATACAAACAATTATAAAATCTTTGGATTACATGTGATTTATATGTCATCCAGCCCAGCTCCCTACTCAATATAAAATCTGATATTCAACTTTCCTGAAATGAATTTATACAACTTTCTTGAACCTTTCCAATGACCAAACCTCAAAAGGCTGCATTTGTTTTCAAGGCAGGATTAACTGTGAGTTAAGCACATCGACTTCCTAGTGGCCTTTCATTGGTCCCATTACTTACCTCTTTCCTCAGATATTTAAAGTCATTTTTGAATGAAATACTCTCCTATTTGCCTACCAACAGAGCTGTTCAAGCTAAAGAGTCCTGCTCTGAACCTAACTCCCAGGACTAAAGAGAACAACAGAGATGTAGTTTGAACCACGTCATAGTTCAAGAAAATCATTAGTCCTCTCTTTTTTCCAAGCCTATTTCTTTTTTAAATCTTTTATGAAATCAAAAGGGTATTAGCATTTTGAGTTGGTTCATGTTAAGTTCTATCAACTAAAGTCCTTAGTTTGTACTTAATGGTCTTTACTAGAGTATCTGATCATACTAGGAAGCACAGAAGAGAGTCATAGTAACCTGAGATTCCTCAGCCTCATAATGCTTGGTATGCCTGATGTAATTCTTATTAATTGTACCTCCTTGAAAACAAAACAATAAAATTTTCCAGGCACAATTTGTAACAGAATGTAGTTAAATCTAGTCATAAATCCACTCTTTATGTCAGTGTAATTTACTCACATTGCCTCTATTTAGTTCAATCTTAAGGCCATTAAAATCTAAAATATGATTCAAAAGTTTGTTTTTAGTATAATTCATTATTCATTTATGTTTTTAAAGATGAAGGCAGCTATGTTATCTCCAACTGAAATGAGAACATTCAATAAGCAATACAATATTGAATATCTAAAGTTTTGCCATTACAACAAGGTCAAATGTGGTATTTTCTACTCTCTTGATTCACATTCATGACCCAAATGAGGTTACTGCTTATGCACAGAGTACAATTAAATCAAGGTTAGACAAAAAGACTTCTCTACTACAAGACAGACAACCAAGAAATTATATAGTGTTGTGAAAATTTTGATTAGTATCATGCTTAATGATATCTAGTTTCCTAATATTAGCAGAATAGATCTTTACCCCTACTACTGAGTCTAACATCCTAAAATATATATTGATAATGTATAATTTTTCAGTTATACTTAACTGTAGCTATGTAATGATTCACTTATTAAAATGGAAAAAAGTTCCTTTATAGTATATTTAAATCAGATATGTAACAAATAAGTCCTATGGGAAAACTTGTAAATTTTCCTCTTAAAAGTAATCAAGCCAAAATTCTGTTTAAGGATATACTATCACATTAAAGTTCTCACAGCTTAAATTATTTAAATGAGTATATAATAAGCAATACCACTAAATGTTGTGTAGGAAAAGAAATAAACTGAATAGTGATCATGGTTTTTAATAAATTTATATTTTGGGAAAATAGATATCTTACTATTTATATTAAGGTATAACAAAATACAAAAAATATGTCAGAGAAGGTAACGTGGTAATCGTGTCATAGTAAATCAAGGCTTTTTGTTGTTAGTTACTTGTATGTACATTAAGAAATTATTTTGCCTCTTATTTTCCCATTATTTTGAAGCATAACTATAAAAATTGCACAATTCGATTTGATGTTTAATGAATAAGAGTAGCTGATCTTCCTGAATCTATATTTTGTGTTACAGTGAGATAAGTATATTGCAGTGAGTTAATCTAATTACATTTACACTGACCTCATTTGTAAAAATAAAAAACAAAACAGTTATGGAAGCATATGATACACATTGAACAATTTCATTATTGTTTCCAAATTCTGGTTTTTCTGGACAGATATGTGTCAGAACTGATATGATGCATGGTGCATGCAACTGCTTATCTTAGTGTCAGCTTTCACATGAAAAACTATTACATAAACTCTGTTATCAGAATGACCGTGTACCAATTCAAATACCAGGGTAATAATTTTGCTACAGATTTTGAAACAGTAAGGAGAATTTCCTTCAAGATATGCTGCCTTTTAACTCTCTATGTCCTCAGAAAATTTACCAGCATCTATAAAAATAATTCTCTAATCTATACATCACTATTAATCTTCTCCCTGAGCTCAAGGTCTGTTGCTTGGATATTGCCACTCTGATTTCCACTGTAAAGCCAAATTTCATTTATTTACACATAAAACTCCTATGAAATGCTGTTTTCCTCAATCCTCCCCCCCTCTTTTTTTTTAACATGGTCAACACCTTTCTCCTAATCTTCCAGCTTCAAAAGTAATTGTTAATTTCCTGTATTTCCACAAGTATAGTCAAATGTATCACTTCCTCTTCATTTTCATGGCCACTTCCCTAGTCAAGGTCTTCATTAACAAATACACAGTCATAAATGTTAAGTTGCATGGGAAAATTCCAAAGCTTTCTTTTAAAAATTAGATTTTGTTTCTGTTGAAGTTCTCACAGTCTAAAAATCTTAATCTTTAAACTCAAGTATGTGATGAATGGTTCTTGAAAATCATAGTTCAAATTAAAGGATGTAGTGAAAATAGTGAAGCAAATGAAGACAAATTAACTTATTTTTTCAGGAACAATATTAGTTTACCTTTCTAACTGGATTATTTGTATTAAAATGTCAACAGGCTGAACAACTGGAAAAAAGTATAATATAGAAGGTAGATGACAAGGTATTCACATTTTGAATGTTCTGGAAGAAGATAGAGTAAAAATAAAATAAATGAGGAAGAAAATTAGGGATAACTAACTTTTCTGAAGTGTTTATATACACTGCATGTAGTATTATAGTGTATGTGTATAATATAATATATGCAATATGGGATACTGCAACAGACTCCCAAAGGGACTTTCTACCTGTTGGCACTTCTCTTCTTCAATTTATCTTGCACATGTATCTTCCAAAACAATGTCCTGCACACTCATGCTCAGCATCCTTCATTGGTTTTTCATTGGTTTCTCATTGTCTGCAAAATAAAATAGACAATCCTTGATTTAGAATTTAAGGCTCTTATAAACCTACCCTTAAACCATTTTCTTAAATTGGTCCTGAACTGAATTAATCTGGATCCATTAACCTTTTTCTCCATAACCATTCTTCTAATCATAAAGCCTGATACTTTTGTGTTATTTGATTCTTCTGTTTCCATTAGCTAGGTGTTCAATGGTGAACATATCACCTGAGTCTATTTTCTTATCTTTAGTTGCACTGAAGAAAGCATGCATTATTTCCTATGTTAAGTAGCCTTTCCTAACTCCTGTCTCTTAACTTTCACCTTCCTGTACTGTTATATGATTAATTTTCCACTCTTGCCTAGACCTTTTCTTTCAGGAACATCTTTATATTCTCTAGTTATCTACCTTAAGCTCTTGGACTGTGCTAGATCAACCTGACAAAACTAGGAGTCTGTTATCTGTGTGTATTCATCCTAGTTGTCATGGTTGTTCTTTTAAAAGATTAAGATTTAATCTTTTCCTTTTTTCAGCCTGTATCACTATTTTGCTTTTCTTGACCTGTAAAAATTTAATGAATGAAACATCGGGCTCGCTTAACTCACAGTACATAAAAGGTTCTCTCCAGACCACTCTCCTGGCTCTATTTTTTCTAATCTTCCTCATATTATTCCTCCTAAAGCCCCATTATGAATATATGCAGAAGATCAATGCTCTAAGAGATTTAAAGCATCTACAAACACAATTCCTATATGTTATCAAGGAAAGTTTTATAATACATAAAATATGATCATTACTGGATTTCATTAGACCAGATAACCCTCAGCTAAATCCAACTACAAATATCATAAGTTTTACCAGCAAACTAAATTTTAAAATCTCACTCAAACTTGTCTCCTACTCCATCTCCAGGAAAGCATGTTTAAACTTTACTGAATCGAGTAGATTTTACTTCATCCTAACTAGTTATAAAAGAATAAGAAAAATACCACTTCAAATGATTCTAAGCTTTTTAAAAATACTGAGACAGACTTCCTGGTTAATAGCACCAGATAGTTGGTCTTGAGGAGTGCTTTTGACATGTAAAGCGGGTAAACTAAACACCTGCATCAAAATCTAGGCATTACAATGTGTATATTACAATAAATGTACATCCTCAAAAGGACTTAAGTGGTGATAGAGGTGGTAGCACTACTGTTAGATATCGACTTGCCTGTAATTCCACTTTTATCTATTTTCTAAGCCATAATTCCATTCTAATTTCTATTTCCAAGTCATACATACGTATATATAGAGAGAGAGATTTGGACAAAAAGTTCATTTGGTTTTTTTGTAAGATGGTTCTAGTAGTGCTTAGATATCTTTAACTTCATTCAAAACAATATTGTTAATTATATTGTGACAGCTTTCATATTAGCATGCATTTAAAAAACATCAAAATCAGTGAATTTTTTTTAACCATTTTAATATTGAAGATGGAAGAGAATATGCAACATTTTCAGTATATTATGCTTCATTATTACAAAAAAGGTAAAAACACAACAGAAATGCAGGAAAAAAAAAGATTTGTGTTGTGACTGATCAAACATGTCAAAGTGGTTTGCAAAACTCTGTGCTGGAGATTTCTCACTGGATGATGCTCCATGGTCAGGTAGTCCAGTTAAGTTGATAGCAATCTAACTGAGGTATTAATTGAGAACAATCAACATTACACCACACAGGAGATAGCCTACATAATCAAAATATCCAAACCAATTAAGTTATTGATGAAGAATGAAAAGTATGGGTTTTATTTTATGGCAAAAAACTAAACAGACTTTTTGGGCAAACCAGTATACACGCACATACACACGTACATATACATGTATACAAATAATATGTATATATACACATGTGTATATGTATATATATACACATATATATGTGTATATGGAAGTATTTTATATAAGATATAAAATGTGTGTGTGTGTGTATTTTACTAATATTTACACACCATATTGTCCTAGTTGTGTCCGGATCTTGATGCCTTGCTTTTTCTTGGTTAAGGTCATTCAGTAACCTTGGTAACCATGGTTACACACCTTGCACTGGATTTGATTCTCCAGTTTCTAGACCTATTTTTCTTTCTCTGACATCCACTAACCAATTACTCTGTCTCTGTCTCTGTTTGGCCTCTGATATCTGCCTGAGAACATGTATTGGTTTGAATTCACTTTCCTCTCCCATTTTATCTTCCTTTGACTACTGGTTTCTTTCTAACAAAATATAGATCACCATACTTTTTTGTTATGTAGTGATGTGGATATACATGATTAATTTCCATATGAAGAAAACTGACAAAAGTATTAAAAGATTTAGCATATTTCCCTAATGAATATATTAAAAGCATAAAAATACTAAAATAAAATTGTAATTCAGCAAATACTGAATGGAAATTAAAATTCTGAAAGATTTTAGTAAAGAATTATTTTTAGATAGATATTTTTAGATTATTTTTAGATTATTTTTAGTAAAGAATTATTATTTTAATCTTAGTAAAGATTATTTTTAGCAGTTAGGAATTGAAACAATAAATTCATCATGTTAGATCTTATATGAATACTTCCAGAAGAGCAGAAGAGACATTGTTTGCATATATTCTTGGTATTCGTGAACCACCTTATAAATTTAGGATCTATCTTAAATGATTTTAACTAAATAGGAAAGCTTTAAACCTTATCTGTGTTGTTTACATGGATGGCACCTAAGGTTATCCATGAGCTCTGTGATAAATCAAAACCTGGGATTTTCAGGGCTAGTTTTGTTCTCAATTTACCTTAAAGAGCCTTTCAGCATTGAACCCACATCATCTTGTATCCAGCAGAGCTTCTAAGATGGCAAGAGAGGTTGTTAAGGATGTGTTAAGCTTCTTACAGTGCTGCATTATTGCTTTAAGAGCACAGCAAATATCAATCTTTTCCAAAGAAGAACTGAGATAATATTGACATGAATTTAAAAAGCTTTTTCTATTTTTCTTCAAATGATCCCAAGCTTGAAGATAAAACTGTCAATTAGCTGGTACTACAATTACTCCTAAACAAGCTGATCTCTTGTAATTTACTGGCAAAGAGTTAAAAGTATCAGTTATTCTTACCACATCTACCAAGGAAGTAAATTTTTATCCATTCCTTATTTAATTAGCACAACAATCACATAGATAAGACGCTAAAGATACATCTTTGGAATTTTCAGTTTTATCTCTTGTGGTCCTCCAGTTAGTCATTTAAAGGACAACTGACTTACAACCTTGTCTATGTTCTGTGATAAGGGTGCATGCCTCATTTGCTCACTTCTATACCTTATTGTATAATACGGTCCTTGGCACATAAAAAGAACATAATGAATAACTGTTGGATAAATAAATGAATGAAGGCTGGTGCAGCCAGCCACAATGACCTAATTCAAAAATCTTCATGAAGCATCTAACTTATACTTCAAACAATACTTTGCCATATTTGAAAATTTTTAACTAAGAATCAAACAGAGCTCTGCCTTCTTTCCCACTAACTCTTGCTAATCTGTTAAGACATCTCCAATGTGTCTTACTCTCTAGGAATCCTTCTCTGACTCCTTCTCCAGTCTAGGCTAAAAACTTATCTGCCATATAAATATAACTCATAGTACATATGAGAAATTAAAATCTTCTCAGTAATTTTTTAATATAAGAGTGAGGGGGCATATGAGCTGAAGTGGGAGACTTAGGCAAGGGGCCAGCCCAGACGGCCTTGTCCCAGTACAACAGAACTTAAAGATCATCCTGTGGGTGATGTAAAGCCATCAAAGGGATTTATCAAATACCACAATGATATATTTTAATTCAAGATGAATGATTTGGAAAAATGGTAAAGGTGAGTATGGGGGAGATAAGACTAGATACAGATATCATTTCAAGAGTCTAGATGAGAGATAAGGGGTGTTCTAGATAACAGAACAGGGGTGAGAAGAGGCACATATTAAATAACTATTTTACTGGTGAAATCAAAAAAACTTGATAATGGTTTAGATATAAGGAGGAAAGATCACCCTCATTCATTAATTTAAGTATTTATTTACTGTCTCCTATATTCTAGGTACTGCACTAGGTAAGAGGACAGTGAACAAGCACCATCCTTCCTCAAGGGGGTTATAGTCTAGTAAGAGAGTTTCTAATGTTGAGATGGGCAATAGGATGAGTCTTGATGACTTCTTATTTCCTGGCTTGGATCACTGAATAGTTGATAGTACCAATAACTGAAAAAAAATTGGGAGGAACAAGTAAGAAAACAAAAAATGAAATATTAAGAAATCAATTACAAAGCAAAATAGAAGTAAAATAATATAAACAACAATGATAGAATCTCATTTCTTTAAAATTAGTTTAATAATCTCTTAAAACTAAACTTCTATTAGTCTATATTCTTCATGTATAGGAAAATTCAGAAACCATACCTTCAAATTAACAGAAAGAGAACTAGATATGCTTTTCATCTTTAAAAGGACCCCTTTAAAGGGGTCATTTTATGACCCCTTTTCTTCTTTAAAAGGACCCCTTTAAAGTTCATTTTAAAGGTTGAGCTCCTTCTAGTGAATTCAAACTGTTACTTACCTTGCTATTTTTTATTTCAAAAATAGTTTATTTTTAAATTATCTTTTATTGATTATGCTATTACAGTTGTCTCAAATTTTCTCCCTTTGCTCCCCTCCTCCCAGCATGCTCCACTCCCTCAGGAAATCCCCACACCTTTGTTTATGTCCATAGATCATGAATATAAGTGGTTATATATTCATGGCCACTCCACTTTGGCTACTCCATTTCCTGTACTGTACTTTATATCCTGATGGCTGGAACTACCTATTTGTATTTCTTAATACCCTCACATCTTCACCCATTTCCCCACATCCCTCCTCTGATCTGGAAACCACCAAAGTGCCTTCAGTATCCATGACTTGTCTCAGTTCTTCTTGTTTGCTGAGTTGGTTTTCTAGATTCAATTGT